ACAATAAGAGATGGCTTTCATGCCATGGCACACTGGTAAGATATGTATCCTGTTTTCTGAGAAGTTTGTATTCACCTATCTGACTAAAGATAATATTTTTACTCTTTAACTGCAAATAAAGTGGAGAAATCATAGACAGAAAGACAGACAGACAGAAGTTCTGACCTTTCACTTTTAATGAGGTACTGGTGCTTGCACTACCCGCTGCATTGCGAGCTTCACAAATGTAGTCTCCACTGTCTTCCACACGGAGATTATGCATTTCAATGACTGCCATAGAATCAATGAAGGACATTCTGTATTTTTCACCATCATGGATTTCAGTTTCATCTTTGTACCAAGTGACCTTGATTTCTGGAGAGCCGCCTATTTTGCATTCATATCTAGTAAAATCATGCTGTTTTACAACTCTAGAGGAGTCTAGCTTTGTTATAATCCTTGGTGGTTCTATAAAACCAAAGAAAAGGGTAAACATGATGATACACTAAATTGCACTGATCCATTAAATGCTTAAATGAATGAACTATCTAATCAAAAGCACAGACTTTGGGGTGTGGTGAGTGGTAGAAATATCTACAAAATGTGAATTTACACTAGCCAGTGATATACGTGGTGGCAGCATGATAAGAATGAACACATAGCTTGAAAAGGAAAGTATTTTAGAAAACAATCAAGAAAGAAAATTGTGTTGTAAATGCAAACAAAGACAAGAAATCTGAGACTTGTATTGAATATCTCCCTCCTGTCTTAATGGCTTTTCCATTTCTATACCACTGAGATTTTGCATTTGGGATAGAGAACTGACAAATCAGAGGGCATGTGCGTCCTTCCTTGAAAGCAGAATCACTTAAGATTCCGTTAAACTGCAGGGTCTATTAGCAGGTTAAATATATATATATATATTAGTAGGCATCAGATAGTATTAAATTAAGAGTGTAAATTACTTTCAAATAGAAACTTTAAAAATACACTTACCAATCACAGTTAGCTTTGCACTAGCAATATGTGGACCACAGACAACTCTGAAATTCCCCTGATCTGCAGGTTGGCAGTTCCTGATTCTGAGTATGTGCCGATCACCTTTAATTTTTATTTCATACTTGTTACTAGAATCCAATTTTTGAGTTCCTTTGTACCAGGAGAGTTTGATTTCTGGATAATTAATCTTAATTTCACATTCAAATATAGCATCCTCATCTGCTAAAACGGTCTGGTTTTCAAGATCCCTGATGAGAGTGATGGGCTGAAAAATATTAATTTAAAAGGTTCAGTCTTCATTCCAAGATCACACTTCCTATTATGTGATTAAATATTTTACTATCAAGTCAAAGCCATCATGTCACCTCTGTCTGTGTGAGTCTTTGCTGAATAAATGATACAAGTTCGTCAAATTCCTGTTCTTCTTTGCGAGCTCTCTCTGTTACCTCAATTTCCTGTGGAAAGACATGACATGGTTTAACATGAAGTAACACTATTGGGAAATAGCTAGGATCCATCCTGCCCCCCCCACAACAAGTCTGGAGAGTTGTGTGTCTCTCTAACTGAACCTTCTGCAAACCCATAGCTCACTTTAACTTCCTCACCAGCCCATCTTACAGGTTCCATGTCACCAAGATCCTCTGGACAAAAAGATGGGGACAGGACTTACTTGGACAAAAGGGTCACTGTTGGTAGCGGCACTGTCTCACCCAGTGCTTGAGCATGCTGGGAGTTCAGAGAGTGAGACACGATAGGATTGGAATCTGAATCTCTTATGCATACAGCAATGTCACAGCTAGGACATCAAGCCTGTTGTCAGAAACCATGTTACTCTTAACATTCCCAATGCCACAGTCTGACTAGGTCTTACCAATCTATGACTTTCTTCCTCTTGGCTTTGCTTTAGCAGCTCAAAGGCTTGCAGGAGGCCACGGAAATCTGTAATTCCATACATGCGAGCATACTTCTCATATTCTTTAGGATCAACATTTTTGAGAAGTTCCATGATATCAATGGGCTTCTCTTCCTCCTCTTCCTTCTTTTTGGTTGGAGTACTATTTAAGTAAGGGGATTAATTAGAAAACATGCACAATATTTCTCCTTTCTAAGAGATCCTTTGGGAAACCAAGTCTGCTTAAAATTGTTTGGTATAGAGCGAGCCTTTAGGTTAGTGCTGGAGGGGCCTTATCCTACAAACTATTAGGCACATACGTGCTCGCTACTCATGACTCAAGGGGATTCTTAGCTTACTGAAAGACTATTGGTATGAGTAAGTCTTGATGGGATCAAGGCCAATATATAATTGGTGTCAACCTGTTCAATACATTGTGAATACTAATAATTACATCTTGATCAGAGATACAATTAAAGTATCCCCCACTGTAGAGATTATGGACAAATCTAGAAAAGATTCTTATGCCTACCTCTTCAGTTTTGCTCTTAGATCTCCTTCAATTACTTCTTGCCTTCGTTCTTCAACTTGTAGGTTGGCACTGCTCTCAATTTCACCATGTTCATTAAAAGCTACACATCTGTACATTCCAGAATCGGTTTTTGTTGCATCCTTTATTTCTAGTTTGGCTTCATCTTCCCTCTGCTGGATGATAATACGACCTCCCTGGTTGAGTTGTCTCCACTTTCCCTTAGTCCATTTAACATTTGGGATTGGATCACCTCCAACTTTAGCAATAAACGTTGCAACACTCTCTATAGAAAAATACAAAATCAAGAAGCTCATCTTTCACATGTCTAAGACAGCAGGATATATCATCATACAACTAATACAACAAATAGAGAAGATGACATATTTTTGGAAGAACGAGCTTACTTTCCATAACTTTGAGATTCTGAGGCTCTGAGATAAAATACAGCTTTCCATCCACTGGTGTTTTCTTAGCTGCTGGTGCAGCTGCTGGTTTTTCTGGAAAATAGGTTTAAGGAGGGTTTAATAGAACAGCTCACTTTCAGGCATAACAACTTTTTTCAATCCCCTGAATGGGAATATTTTTTATTGTAGCTGAATCCATTTACTAAAGCAGCATATGCGGTGCATGTGTGAAAGAAAAAATGCCAAGTACTTTTTGATGACTTTCAATAAGTTGTCATCTGATATCCTAAGATGGAAGCAGACACTGTAGGGCTTATTCTTATCTCTGTCACACCATGTAAAATTTACATAGAAGTAAACATCATCAGAATCAGATTTTAGGATTTTCAAAAATGGATTACTTTAATTTAGGCTCTTAAATCCACAGTTTGGCACATAAATAAGTGGCCTGATTTTCAAAATTTCTCATCAGCTATTACCCAGCAGCTTCCACACAGTACAGTACCAAGGGGCTTCTCTTTGGTACCCATTTCTTAAAGACCTGGCCTACAAGGTGTCTTAGTTTTAGCTAGAAGATTAAAGTGTCTGAGCAACTTCTAGGCCCATTGCTGCCTCTGTTCTAGAGGTGATGCTACCTTAATATGTTAATGACTGTGAAGAGCTCAGATGCAATAATGATGGGGGGATAAATATTTGAGAGAGAGAGAGAGTCTCATCCCCAAACTGTATTAACTTCAATTTAGTGAGGGTTCTGTCTGGGTTGAAGCTGAGATAGCCCAGCCCAATTAATTGCACTGCTGCCTCTGAGCTGGGCAAAGAATTCTTTCTTAATGTGCTTCTTCCTTACTCTACTATCTTTCTGGCTGGCTCACACCAGACTTTGCTGTGTCTCATGGTGCCACATAGGCATGGAGCACTCTCACTGACAATATACCAAATTATCTTAGTAATGTCCTACAAGACATAGCTAATCCCTCATCTTCCCCATGGAGCATGCATGCTCTGGAGACTGAAGCCCACTCTGTCAGCTTGGTTTTGCCTCAAACCCTTTGTTTTGTCTGCAAGGTTAAATTCTAAACCCTCAGGGTGCAGATCTACTGTTCATTTGACACAGGCCTCCTAATGTATATTTTGCATATTTATGGTGTTATATTAATTATCATTAAATATAATGCTACAATAAGGCCAGTATTTCAGATTATGTAATATTTTATGAAGTAACAAAGACACTGGTTATTTTCTATTTGGTTATGAACCACTTAATTCACAGAAAAGATGTGATCATTGTAGTTTTGGTTTAAATTGCCATCACAAGACGTGATTTCTCTCTTTTACTATACCTTTCACTGTCACTTTTGACTTGCAAGAGTCACTTCCAGCTACATTTATAGCTTTGCACACATATTCGCCTGCATCAGTTTTAGTAACTGCTGTGAGTTCCAAAAGAGCTGTTCCATTAGCAAAGCTAAAGTTGCATTTATCTGAAGCTTTTATTTCTCTCCCAGCCTTCAGCCACTGAATCCTGATTGGCTGTGATCCCTGGACGTGGCAGCTGAGCTGCAAAATATCTCCTTCTGCTATTGTCACTGGTCTAAGAGGTTGGTCAACCACTGGTGGCTTTTGTGGTTCTGGAATTGGAAAATATTTTAGTAAATAATCAAG